CGGCCAGCCGGCCGGCACAATAGTCTTCGCATTATACGATGCTACTACGTGATATTTCTTTGAGTTATAAATTGAAGACTTCTTTCTTTTCTTGAAGTTAGTGTTTATTTTTGTTGTTGGAATAATCGATAGAGGCAAGTTGGGAAATATTTTGCGAGATTGTGTCAAACCGGACCTTCCATGCGTTCACGCCCAAACAAGCATGGCGCGGGAGTCACTGCCGATATATCATTTGTTTTCTAACAATATAAATGTAGAATTATTGCGAATAATTGTAGATTTTGATATTTTACATAGTGTACTTTTTCGTCTTATTTAATTATTTGTGATATTAGTAAATGACAAATAGATGTTAAATTTTGTTATAGCTTGTGTAAATTAATTTTCGTTATTTTCAAATATTTGTATATCACACAATATTCTAGGAAAATTATAAGAATGTTTTTCATTGTCGTATATTACGTAAATTAATTTTAGTTATTGATGTTTTTGAATATTCATATATCAGAGTATATTATATTCTAAGAAAATTGTAGTAATTTGCTATGACGAGCGTAATATAAACAGTAACTGGATGGCTACGACGCGGTGTCGCTATTAATCGCTTTCTTAGAACGTTATCTCTGAACAGGTTTAAAATGCATATACGGTACTCGCGTTTGCATTAGCTCTCTATATGTTCGTTCCCCTCGCGACGGTGTTGCCATCATGAAATCTGTCATCAATTTAACATCATAAAATCATCAATCAACAGAAGTATCATTAAAAAATTGTGAAAAACACATTCTATTTAAGACGTAATGAGTACGACGCAAATTTAAATTGGCACGCACTTTTACATTATGTTCATGGATATGAATTGAATATCATAGAAATTACAGAATTGGGACAAAATGTAGAACAGATATGTAAAGCTTTTTATAATATAGAGAAACGAAGGAACAATTTCTCCCTATACACAATTCTAAAAATTCCGCGAATTCTGGAAAACCATTTCGTAATATTACGTATATGTATATGTAAAGTTTTACAATATAGAGATAAATTTTTATTATCATGGCATAAATATTGCATGAAATAGACGCAACTTATTCCACCATATAGAATTCTGTAAATTTTTCAAACTCTGAAAAAGCTTTTCGCAACATTACACATATGCAAAATTTCACAGTATACAGATAAACATTGTATGAATCAAAGCAAACTTTTCTTTCAATACACAATGCTGAGATTTCTTTAGATTATTGTTTACACCAGGGTTGAAACTAAGTGGCGTGGTTTTTAGTATCTCTTTGCAGCAGTTATAGAGAAAAAGGATGTAAAAAGAAGGGAAAAAACAAAAGGACGAGGAAAGCAAGTTCCTTTGTATACGGCCGAGTGACCGACAGACCAGCCAGGTTATACTATGTGCGTTACGTAAAGCCACGTTTGTTGCACAATAATGGGTCTCTATAAATAACTCGAAGCATGCCGCATCGGCGCGACTTCTTGTTTACATACGCTCATCACCGCGCTGCATTACGTTCACTTACACTTTACACGGATAGGCTTCGATCTATCGTGTCTAGGCTAAACGTGTGTAAATCGTGTTCAAGGTACACAGTCTGCTCGCGTGTAGTTGTGAAATTCGCGAACGTTGACTACTTGTCGATATTACACCAGGCACAGCGCCTCGTATGCTTTCTTTGTCCGTTTGGTTGCGCGACGTGCACGCGATAACGCGCGTAGGTAATGCGAGAAACTACTACAGACGATATGCGTGTAACAATATATATATGCGCGCGCGGGCGCACACACACACACACACATGGTGTAAAGGAAAGCTGTACAGTGTACGCCATAATTGATATAGAGCTTGAATGAAGAAACGAGGGAAGACGAACGATTTTACATGTGTATGAAAGGCTCGTTGGAGGTATCAAGCGTAAATCATTGCATTAATGCACGCGGCATACCTTACGTTCACGCTCGCGGTATGTTTATGTCTATTTTTTTTTTTCTTGTTTTTGGTGGTTAGATCGGTATGAGTGAATAATGATGAATGTAGGTATGATGGCGAGCATGTAAATAGGGAATATGTTTATTTGAAAATTTAAGCATAATTGTGTTAAGCAATGTCACCATTCAAATATATGTATAAATACATTTGAGTAAAAGTTCTACATCGACGATCTAACCTTACTTTTTCTTAATTTTGCTTTACGCCTATGCGTAGATTTCTGTTATATTTTTACTAACAAAGAATGACAGCAGTTTGCATTTTAACTACATATGTAGAAATTTAAATCTAATTTATTTTGCTACGAAATTAAAATTATACTATATGGTCAAATAACATTATACCATATCAAGAAAAACTTGAAATCAAAAACAGATTAAAAGTGTATCCGTTTATAATTAAAATAAAATATAATATTTAGTATATAACAAACGAAGAAAGTAATTTTGTATCGTTGTCTCATTGATGAGTATGATGATGGGTATTTAGGTACTTGATCAATTTTTGACTTACTTTTTTAAATAGAAACGTTTCCTTGCTGCATGTGATTGCTGAAATACCCCATGATATAAAATATTGACTACTATCAATAGACGCACCGTGTGCGTCAATATCAGTAAATGGGTAAATGTTATATCGTCATTCGCAGTATTTTTTGGTCTTACTTCTTTTCCATTTGAAAAGTGAAAAGGATAGTCGGATTATTACGAGAACATCTGATATGTGTTTATCCTTTCATCACACGATCCAGTGTATCAGCTGATTAAACGTTTTGCTATTACATAATCGAGCACGATTGATACATACTTCACCGATCATGATAAATTTTCTCTCTCTCGCGGTTTATCGCTGCTTTGTACGCTAATCAAACGTTTCACATATATATGCAATGTGTCATTTAGTCGTTGAAACGATGCGTCATGAATTTATAATTATATAGTCGGATAATTATTGTCAAATATTAGTCACTTAAGGCGTTTCGATGTTTTTACACTGCTCGAAGCGTAGATGGAAATGACATTGTAGATTTAAACGATTGAATGATTAAACACTGTGTTATACGTTTCACGGTGTAGAGTTAATATTTTTATTATGCATATGTAATATCATATCAATTTGTTAAAACGTTTAAAACAGCACAATAACTACTTTATAGAAAGATGAGTTATTCTATAAAAATATTTAAACATGTATTTTAGTATAGCAATAGAAATATCGTATTTGCGTAGTCTTATGTTTTCTTATATTTATATTTTCTGTCGACCTTGTTTTACTTTTAAAACAGTATTTGATTAATCTTCTCACTATACAATATAATAACTTTGCGTCGAAATGTTGGAATTTAAAAGTCTAGAGATTTAGGAATCGAAGAGTAGAATTTCATAATAATAAAAATAGCTTTGTGTGCTATAGGTGTACGAAAACTTTTATAACTTTCCTCCGCTCTCTCATTGCCTACCAGTTATCGATTTTATTTCTCTTTTGATCGCTGCAACCATCAAGAAAACATCAATCACGGTCGGTTCTAACAAAGTTAGGTTACATATTATTGGGTCATTAATTTATAAAAAAAATATTGAGTTACCGTCCACCCACCACTTAGTTTTTTCTCTATGACATGTTTTACACACACGTACACACAAAGCACAGATATAATTAATGTCGCTCGATGCCCTATCGATTTTCTTTCAGTATTTACGTCAGCTAAACCTTTGTCGGTGTGCGTGTCATGCTGTACTTATTAGTTATTATCACCACATCGTTTATCAAGCGTTGGAAAATAAAACTCGCTCGGCTGATGGTACTTTTTCGTTCGCTCGTTTGCACGACTTAATAAATCGGTCGAGCCAATCCTGACCACGGTCAACGTGATTGCACCATATCGTACGTAGTTGCCTTTTTACGTATACATGTGCTTATAACACATCTAGGTATATACACGTATTATGTACATAGTATTACGAGTAGCGATGGGATCAAGTTCAATGCGTACAAATCAAATCCACTATTCAAGGTAGTTAGGTTCATACGGTTCGAAGGGAACTTGTAAGATATAGTCAAGTATTCGATCTTTACAAACTATTCTCGAACTTCGGATACTGAACTTTTAAATTTGCAAATTTCGAAATACTCGAACTTCTACACTTTCAAATTTCCAAACTGAAAAGTTATTGTGATAGTTCTATATACGTTTGAATTTGCGACTTACATACTTCATCCTGTGATTAGTTACGAGTAGACAATTAGAGCAACAAAGACAGCTGAATGAACTGCACAG